CTTTTATTCTTGCAAATGAAGCTGCCATCTTTGCCCACATTCATTTCCCAGAGGAGAGAGAAAATGAAGACTGCGGTGGTGGGGGTGGACAGTAATTGTGGTTGCAGGAAATCTGGAAACTACAAACAGTCTGGTGCAATCACTCAGTGTTATTTGCACGAGGGACATGTCATGATTCATCATAATTTAATCCTGCTGCACTGATTGATCAGTTTATGAATGTGACTTGACATATCAGAGTGCCAAAAGGTCTAGAGATGAACGCAGTGTTGAATGTGCTGTTTAGCAACCTGACCAAAGATTTAGATATAAATCTGCTGTATTCAAATGTGATCGGTGAATCATATCTCTTTAAAAATGTACTTGCATTTTCTGGTGTAATGATGTTTATATGTGCCACTGTATTGGAAATTCTCCTCATATGTATTTCATTTAAAAATGGAGCAACTGCAGACATGATCTTTTTTTTTTACATAAGTATGATCCACATTTTTTGTTTTTGGCAACTCTGGAGCCAAACGTGCAGGTAGAGGGTTGTGCATGTGCATTTTTTTTAAAGTTTTAAAAATTTGCAAAAATCCTCCGCTATACCTTTAATATAAAGGAATATCCTATGTACTGTAATAACACCAGTCTTATAAGCTTTAATGGTTTTTTTAAAGAACATTTTAGACTTAGACTTAGTCAACTTTTGTTGTCATACAAAAACAAGATTTCGTTTTGTACAGTTTTCATAACATTTAAACATTTAAATTTAAAAACTGTGGGAGAAAAAAAACATGGTGCAAAAAGTTGATATGGAAGTTCAAAGCATTAAATATATATGGTGCAATTATGCAGTGTTTTGGTTTGATGTTATCAGTGTGATGCAGAGTCTGAGACATAATTTAGACTTTCTCAAAAGTTTAGCTCTCTGATGGGGAAGAAGCTGTTTCGGAATGTGCTGGTCCTGCATTGAATGCTTTGAAGCCTCTTCCCAGAGGGCAGCAGAGGGAACAGTCCATGGTGGGGGTGTGAGGGGTCATTGATAATGCCACTGACCCTGGACACGCAGCGCTGGGATGAAATTTCTTTTATGGAGGGAAGAGGAGCCCCGATGATCCTCTCTGCTGTTCTCATTACTCTCATCGCTTTCTTCCAGTCTGAGGCGCTGCAGCCTCCACACCACACAGTGAGACATCTGCTCAGAACGCTCTTTATGGTGCTTCTGTAGAAGATGGTGAGGATGTGTGGGGGCAGGCAGGCTCTCCTCATCCTCCTCAGGAAGTACATACGCTTTTGTGCCCTTTTGACCAGTGAGGTAGTGTTTACTGTCCAGGTGAGGTTGTCTGTGATGTGCAACCCCAGGAATTTGGTGCTGCTGTCCATCTCTACAGCTGAGCTGTTGATGAGCAGTGGAGCTTGGTTAGGCTGATTCTTCCTGAAGTCGACAATGATCTCCTTTATCTTCTCCGCTTTTAGGATCAGGTTGTTATCTCTACACCAATCCAACCAGCTGCTCCACCTCCTCTCTGTAGTCCTGGTCATTGTCGTGAGAAAGTCTAACAGCCAATAGCAGAGGGGTATATTGAAGCCCAGCTGTTGCCTATCAGATGCTGTGGGATGATGGTGTTGAAAGCAGAACTGGAATCTAGGATCCGCATCCGCACGTGGGTGTTCTTCTCCTCCAGATGTGCTAGGCTCATGTGAAGAGCAGAAGACAGGAATTTTAATTGAATTTCTGCAACAGAATGACATTAAAAGACGAGCAGTATGTTGTAGAGCTATTTTAACTTTAATTGGCTTGGGGATTATGTGTATTATTATCAGTTTTTCTCATAAAATAATTACCCTTTAGAAAAAATCTATGCCTCATCTTTAGAATTGTTTAATCTTTTCCTTATTTTAAAAGCTAAAAATCTAAAGACACTTTGATTGTTTAAGATTGCAACAGATTTTCTATTGCAGATCATTTTTGTTTTTTTTAGGTTTTTACGGCACTAGTGGCTCGTTTTTGGGCTGATAGGAAAAGGGGTAGAGAAATGCGGCAAAGGACCACATGTCAGATTCAAACCCGGGTTGGCCAGGTCAAGGACTAAGGCCTGCGTATATGGGTCCTGCACACTAATTATTGCTCCACCAAAGCACGCCTATGGCAGACACTTCATAAAATTGATATCTGCTTTACATTTTGAGACTCTTAAACTACTTTTATTTGGCCAGACTTGGGGTAAAATGGCTCTTTGGATCCCTTGGTTCTAGACCGTCTCAATACTTTAAACTGTACTAGCGGTTCTTTGAGCAGGGCTAGTTTAGACTCCATTAAAGCTGTCAGTGGTATTTAAACACTGCTTCACAGTATCTCTTTAATGGGGGATAATCACAGCTTTCTTCTTAAGATTTTACAGATTTTGAAATATTGTTGATCTAAATTTTGAAACAAAAATATCTTGAACTAAAATAGATCATTGCAAATTGATCAATCTGTCATTAACATAATTTCTTTGAACCATCAATTAATACTCAGATAGCTAAAGGTTCCTTAAAGAAGATTTTTTACAGAATTAAACCAGGTGAAACAAACTTTTCCACTTGAGGAGTTCCGGATAGAGCATATTGACAGACAGAAACATTTTTTTTATCTTAAATGCAAAATGTTTACATATTTCTTTTGCATTCTTGCAATTACTGCTCTAAATAGGTTTCTCTGTCAGTTAAAGTCATGTTTAATATATGCTCTATACTCCAGTTAACGATTAATCGAGTACTAAATTAGTTGATGATTATTCCAATGATCGATTCATCACAATGAATCCGATTAGTTGTTTCAGCCCAAAACTCCAATATCTGAAATGAAGTTAATATTTTCTGATATTAGGACAACAAATAACAGTGCTCATAAGTTTGGATAGACTCTGTGCCATCTTAGCTTGAGTTCCTCTGGGTCAGTGTAAACACATCTCACAGGGCCATGGCCTCCACCCTCTTCGTCTGCAGCCAACGCTGTGTGAATATGTAGGGGGTGTCTCCAAGGAAGCCTCCTTACAATGGAAGGGTGCTGATTAGCCAGGCTGCTGGCCTCTTTTGTTCTCTTCATATGGGGCTTTAATCGTTCTTTGTTTAGTCTACAAAATCTCATTGAAGTCTCTCATTCAGTTTATGTCCTCCCATTTATTGTGCCATTTTTCCTCTCTATTGTATCTACTCTTGCCTTTCTTTATTTGCTCTGCTCGATGCCCGATCCCTGACTTGTAATTATGTAGCAACCTATAGGGAGAGATGAAGCAGATATTCACGTTAAATATTATTGATCCTTCAGCAAGCCTTAGGCAGACTGACATTTTGAATCACTGTTTTATCCAGTTTTACATTCAGACAGCTTAGAATAAAAGCAGCTGCAACACCATAGCAAAAATTGACTCCATTATCCTTTCTATGAAACAGTATCATTACATTACACTAATGCTTCACTTTTCCTTAGATAAGGGAATGTCTTTGACAGCTATAGTTACTGAACCGCCACTTAAACTGGGATTGTTTTTTTTATGGTTGTTGTCATAATTAAGAGGATGATTCTTTGTTTTTATGAACAGCTGTGGTGAATTATTGTATCCGACTATTATAATATAGTCTGTGTGAATTAGATAGAATGCACATATGCTGTGTTTTTTTTTACATATCTTTATAATGCTACAAACATTGAAATTTACTCAAAACACAAATAATTGCATAAAGCTTGTTACATTGTCTGCAAGAAGCATGAAATTAGTTTTTATTGTGTTCTTAGAACATGAAAAAAGTTCTGAGGTCTCACAAAAAAAGCTCAGCTGCAGGAAATCTTATTGCACATCTAAAGAAAACACAACAGCACATTGGCAGAGGATGCATCTTTTCAGATTGCTATAGGAGGAGCTAGAGATGAATATTTTGCACCATTCAGAGGACTTAACATAGTAATTTTCTTTTTTTTTTTTTTACCCCCTTGGACAGCAAATCGTTGAAATTGTCCATTCCCTAACAATTCACTGTACAAACATCCATACCTGGAAAAAGTGGCAAAAATTTGACAGAAAAAAGAAAGTAAAATCATCTCAACTTTAGCCTAACCTTTAATCTAACATAACAAATGCCCACACAAATCCCGATGATTTGCACAATTGTTCTCAAACACACTGAGAGAATAAAGTTCTGGCCAGAGACAAACCCAAAGATAGAGATGTGACAAAATGATGTAGGATTTTGTTCTAACATCTCTGGGAGCAAGAACAAATGTCTTCCTTCTAACAGTTAATTTAATGACCTTAGCTGTGAAAAAAATATATGATATCTATATTATTTTGAGAATTAATAGATTAGGCCCATTTTACTCTAATACAGCCAAATAAAAAGAAGGATAAAAAAGTGCATCTAAATACAGGGCAATTCTGAAAAGAAAACCCGCTACCAGTAGGTACTGACATTGGTAAATATTGGTAAAAGTATTCTTCAGCCATAATAGTTGCAGGTTGTAATATACAGAATTGATTTATTCAGAATTAATATTGATTCATTCCTTACTTTCAGTTTTAATGTGTGAAACAATTATGAAACAGCTGTCTTTTTTTGTTGCAATTTAGAATTATGCAATCCTTTGTGCCGGTTTATGTTATACAATCCCCATACAGTTATTATCACAATGTAGTTCTAATGTTAAAAATAAAACATATTAATAGCCAAAAGTGAAGGAATAATCTTGCAAAGCATTGTAGAAATTACAAGCCAGGGAGAAGTGTGTGAAGGAAAGACTCCTGTTGGAACTCATTGCCAATCTCCTAGGGATAAAGCAATGAAAGCACTCATAAAAAATGCTGGCAAGCCTGCCACAGAGGAAGGGGGTAGCCTCTGAGAAGACAAAAAAGATGGCTTAGTGCTTTATTTTTTTGCACAGACACGATAGTTGAAAGGAGAAGAAAAAGAGCAGATCAACCTGTTGCCTCCTCCAGTTGCCAAGGACTACCTGTTGCTAATATATGTCTACATACATGTGTGTGTTTATTGTCTGGAGACAGATAAAGAACGCTGCAGCTAATGTGCTGAGGGAGACTTGGCTCATCTACAAACACACCAAGTTGATGAAGAAGATCGACCACTCCAGGGTTCGCAAACATCAGCGGAAGTTCCTGCAGGCCATACATCAGTAAGACCGCACCCCTACATCCACGGACGAGTGCATGCAGACACAAGCACACCACTGTGGCTGCAAAGCTGAAGAGGCATTTGAAATAAGCTGTACTTCTATCCAGACACAGCTTGAATCTGGGCTGATAATCAAATGAAATGCACTAATCTCTGCACACTCTCTCACAGACACAAACATACAATTATAAATAATCTGCCAAAGGGCAAGTTCAGTCCAGGCAAACACAACTGCAGGACTGATCAGGTTGTTGTGTACCATTAGAGGCACTATGAACATTATAACATCTCAACAGTAAAGGCTGGAACATAGATGCACAGCACAATCCAATTGCATTTCAACCAATATGCTTCTGTTCTCCTATTATTAAATGCTCATATTTCAAAGCCGTTGTTATATATGCCATGCCTGGCAACTAAATTATGTGTTACGTTTTTCTCTTTCTCACTGCTGTGGCCTCTAATGGGTAAAAGTATTAGGAATTACCTTTAAAAGCCGTCGTCAAATGGGGGAAGACTCTTAATTGTAACGTAGAATGCTTAATCCTGCAACGTAAAGCCTGAGAAAGGATTGGAAGTCAGCGGGTGCAGCAACAGGGTAATTTTTTCGGCTGAACATATGATATTAAGGGCTTTTTTTCCAGGTTAAAATGGGTCAAGGTAACAGAGAAACAGCCTTTTAAAATGACTCTTCAGTGCTTAATAATGTAGGCTGCCACAGGGCTGGATGAAAACACAGAACGAACCACTAAATATTCTGCTGTGTTTTAAGAGTAAAGCAGGTTCTGGTTATGATTGGACTGATGTGATTTATTAAATTTTTATCCCCTGCAGCTTTTTGTCCCCGAAGACTTTATTCCCTTTAGCTTTTATTTCATATCAACCCCAGATATGCTCTTTACCATACATACTGCTACAACATTATGGTGTTTTTAGCTGGTGCTCCCTGTCTTTACACATTACATTTTTCGAGACACTACAGGTAAAAAATGAACCCAATCCAAGCAAGGTGACCGCTGCGTCAAAGTGCTATTGTGTGGATCCACAGGGATTATCGCTGTGGGCTGACCACTGTGTATTTACTCGGTTTCACCTTTGTTTGTGAGCTTTATCTGTGTGTATGTCTGTTTGCAGATTACGCAGTGTCAAAATGGAGCAGAGAAAACTCAGTGATCAGGCCAACACACTAGTAGATCTCTCCAAGGTGAGACACAAACTCAACATTTCACATTCTGACAACAGTAAAACATGCGGGAAAATATCACACTTTTACACACCTCAGCACTGGCTGCACTGATAAAACTCATGTGTCTCAATAGAATTGGATCAAAAAGCTCTGTCCTGATTTGATTGGCCTTTATTTCAGGCTCTGATAAGTCATTTTTGAGCTTGCTTTGAAGATAAAGATTAAATGTATTTTATTTGGTCATTATAAATCAGAGTAAACAAAGCTCCATTGTCAGGCCACTTGTATTGTATATGTTTGATCCCCCTAGCTCATGTTATGTAGTGTTCCAGCATCTTTTACTATACATATACTGAGGAAACGAGTTTGCATGTTTCTGCCAACATTTGACCACAATCTCCAACAGTTACTTCAGTTCAAAACTTTTTTATACCTATTGTTCCCAACTACACAAAATCTGCACTACTGGAAATAGTCAGCATGGTTAGCTGGCACATACTGTAAGTCTGTTAACATGTAAGGAGTAAAGACCAAAATCTGCAACTACTTAAGACCTGAAAGCATAAGCATCCAATGAGTTGTCTTGCCAACAGCTAATGAAAAAGAAAGAATGAGAAACAATCACAAGAACCAGTTTATATTGGGTTATTGGAGGCTACCTGTCAGTTCTCATATACAGCAGTACAAAGGTGGTACCCAGAGAGTAGCCAGTGAAACAAAGAAAGAAAGAGAACAGAAAACCTGGCAAGAAAGTGTATCTATCTTGAGAAGTCATTGAAAGTCTTATTTTTCCAAACTGACAGATAAAAAGGATGAGTATGAGATTCTGGATAAGGAGTAAACTCATAATTCCCTATTGCTCCCACAGCTTTGACAGCCTTTTTTCTTTATTTTCCTCTCTACAAACAAGAAAAAGCTTTATAAGATAGATAAAGACACATCATTTATTCTAGGTACATTTAGGTACATTAATTCAAACCGTTTAATTTGGGTTTTTTTAACATAACGTCAACATCTCCAGGACAGGATGGTCAAAAAAAGGAACATTCTTGTAAAATAATGTCACTTCCTCAAAAACACCTTAAAGGTATAGTGGAGGATTTTCTTTTTCCAGGTGGATCATCAAAATAAGTGGTTCTCCTAATTGTCAATCATTCTGGTGAAGTGTTTATGTAAGGCTGTCCCACATGTTCATTTAATTTTCACTTACCTGTGGTGAGTCTGACATATTTAAAAAAAAAAAAGCCTAGATCTGGTATCGTTCTAAACCATTTGAATGGTTGGAGTAGCTTCCAAGAGGGATTTTAGCTCGGCTGTTATGTCACACCATCGTGCGACTAAAGCTGTTGCTTTAATTAGAAACTAAATTCTTTTCAAAATAATATACCCCTTAAAAATAATCAAATTTTTTTTATATCTACTGATTTTAGGGGGTATTTTAATGGGATCACCTCTTTTTTCAAACACAGCTCACCAAAACGCTTTTCTGTTTCGTTTCTTATTAAAATAAAAATAAATAAAATAAAACCCTGGAAGACCTCCTTCAAACTGTTGTATACTGTGAAATTGGACCAGACTGTGCCCAGTTCAAGTACTGGATTGTAATCATATGGTAGTCACACTCTTACTGTATGTGATTTTTGCTACTGATGTGACCTTTTTAAAGAGGAGACAATTTTCCTCGCCTTCAGGCATCACACACCGCTGACTGACTTTTTACAAGCAGTTTAATCCTCATGACTAGAACAATGGAATATTTTTCAGTTTTTTCAACCTGAATTTTATTAAAACTGTGTCACATTTTGATACTGGAAACGGCCAATGCCTTGTGGAGGGTAACACGTCCAGCCCCCCGTTAGCCCCAGGGGAAAATACCACGGCATTCCTCTGTTTCCATGCTGACCCGCCTGTTTCTCTGGCTTTTTATCTCCTGGCAACCACAGCAAAGTGTTAAAACAGGGATGACTGAGCGATAGAGTGAGGAGGAAATGAGAGGAGGGAGGGGAGTGATCCTGTTTTTTTTTTTTCAGTTAGCATGTGGGTGTTTGAGAATGTGAGCGAGCATGTGTGTGTGTGTGTGTGTTTGTAAAAAGAGAGAAACTCAGAGCAGAGTGAGTGAGATTCAGACTTGAATGGGAGACAAAGATTGAGAATGTGTGTGTGTCTTTCCAAGAAGCAATGCCTTTAGCACCAAATATTTTGCAATTACGCCATCTCAATGACTCCATCTCAATTGGCCACTTACGTCTTTACCATGGTTACAGAGACCAAAAGAAGCAAGACAGGGACACTGTGCTGCCTTCCTTTGATTACCCGTTTCTCTTTTCTCTTCTTCTTACTCTATTCACAATATTATACCACCATGCCTCTTTATCATTCCATCGACTACTCCCTTTTGGATTAATTTTCTTTTGCATCTTGCTAATCATTCCCACTGCTTTACACTAGTGAAGAGAAAGGGTTTAGATCTTTTACTGAAATATAGGCTTCAGTACAAGGAAAAAAATCCTGTGTGGGAGCTGCTGACATTTTTGTACCAACATTTTGTTCATGTAATATAACTAGAATGTGCCATCTGAGTATTAGAACAATTATGGTAATACAGTATAACATCAAATTTAAGATGCATGTGGAGGAGGCAATCTTAACATCTTTTAAAAAAAGGCAGAACATTTTAAATTGTGGGTAGAATCTTATTGTTTCATACATAAATCAGATTTTTATGTTTGAGTTTTTGTCACTGAAGAAATCTGCTTTAAATTTTAGGAAAAGCAATATGGCTAATTTCTAAAATGTATCTTTAAAAAACACATTTATTAAGATTTCTGTAAAAGGAAAAAAAAACAGCAAGACCTGCTAATAAACGTTGAACAGAGGAAGTTTAAATAGAAGTTGTTTTTCTTAAATTTCTTAATTTCTGTGCAAAGTATTTAGGGCCTAATTTTCAGAAGTTTTGTACATCTTAAAACAGGTGTAAACCTGTTGCATGTTTACCGTCATTAATATGAATGTCAAGTTTTGGCATTCTCACAAGCCACTTCAGTCTTTGTCCAAACTTTAAAAAGCTTGCTCCCTCCAGACAACTCCAATCAGCCACATTTGTTTATTCATCATTTGTTTTTTCTTTTAGGCAGCTCTGCAATATTCGTAAGACATAAGCAGGTTGCTAAACTACAAACAGATGAGATAAACATTAAACATCAGAAATAAAAATACATTAATTTGACTAAAATATTAGACTTAGACAAAATTTATTGTCATTATGTGTATGCATACAGCTTTTTAAAAGTGAATGAGCAGCTTAGCAGTGAAACAAACGTGTTACAATGGTTAACCTCTGAAATTGATTTCTTTAAAACTGGAAGGCCTCCTTCTCATTACCCTCATCGTTTTGTATTGTTTATTGACCATATTTTCTACATCATATATTTGTCCGATGTTGCCATATGCTTGATAATGATGAGGGATTGCTCCACCCTCAGTAACTCAATAGGCTTCTAAAGAGCCAACATATTAGCTACTGTTTAAAACTGAATTTATAATTCAGTTCTAAATGGTGGAATTTAGGTAATTACAGTGAGTCTGTACAAACTTGATTTTAATTTGTTGTAGCATAAATTCGATCTGTTAGGTCTAACTACCAAAAGAGTCAGAGATTGGAAAATACCTTTTGATTTTATCAGCGTTTGAATCATGTCCTGTAACTCTCCTTGTTAATAAATAATTAATAAAGAGCTTATAACCTATTAATTTTCCAGTAATATTGTTTAAAGGATCTCTCCACTTTGAGGTTACTGTAAAAAAAACCTCAGTTGTGGTTCCAAAGATTGTTTTAAATAAAAGGCAACACAAATACAACCCTATTTTATTTTTTGTCTCTTCTTAGAAGTAATCTCTGTGCACTGAGACATCTCCGACTGTCCTCCCACAGATGCAGAGTGTCATGTATGAGCTCATGTCAGAGCTCAACGACCGCAGCGAGGACTTGGAGCGACAGATGCTGTCCCTGGAGCAGCGGGTGGAGCAGCTCACGGCAGGCTTCAACGTCCTGCCTGCACACCTCTCCGCGACCCTCAGTGCCCAGCATGCCGCCCTGGTTCACCTGCTCCGAGACAGGGACGCACGTGATGGTAGAGGAGGAGGATCAGGAGGTGGAGGCGCTGTCGTTCCTCTGTCACCAACTGCCTCCTTAAGCAACGCACCAGTTTCAGTCTCCCCAATCCAGGTTGCAGCACCTCCATCAACCTTAGCACAGATCTCTAGTTTATCCTTGGAGAGCCCACTGTCACCCCCACCTGTGAGCCCAGAAGTCAGCCTGGAGGCTACTCCCAATCCCAATACTTGCAGCTCAAGCTGCTGAGTACCACTCTCAGGAGAAGAGGGGAACAGATATGGAAGCTGCACGCAGAGAAGGAAAGACGGGAGGCTCTGATAATCCTCTCATATAAGACTGAAGGAGCAAAATGAAAACAGAGGAGATACATTTTTTAAGATCCTCTGAAACATTTGTGCCATGACAACAGTACACAGCAAATTTGGAAGTGTTAATTCAACTCCTAGGGAGTTAAATTCAACACTTTTAAAGTGTCTATACTGGTCCACACTAGATCAAGTTAAAATAACACTTTTGAAAGTGTTAGACAGTTAACACTGTGACAGAGTTGGAACACTCTTAATAGTTTTAATTCAACACTTATCAGGATGGAATTTATCTAAAACTTGTGTGTAGAGTCAAAAGTCAACTAGTGTTGAGTTTAGACTCTACCTGCTAATGTTGATCATTAATGGTGGTCAGCTATATTGTAACAACAGCTGCCCACACTGGCAGAAGCAAGGCTGCCGCCAAGCTCTCTGCCCATCAGTAGGTGGTGTGGGTGAAGTGTCTTCCCCAAGGACACATAAACTGAGACGGAGAAAGCCGGGATTCGAATTAGCGAGCCTGTGGTTGCAAGATTAACTTCTGCATACTCAATGCCACAATTACGAAGTCCACTACTGTTGTCATCAGCGCATGTATTTTAAGAGTTTATGGATAGGTTTGAACTTTGGGAAAAAAGCTCTGTTTAGTGTTGATTCTGAAATCAACACTGAACAGAGTGGTTTGAATTTAACTCCACGGATTAACACCAACTCTTTGTTAGGAAGTAACTCTTGGATAGTTGAATGAAAACTAACACAGGAAATTTTACACATTTGATTTTGTTGTGTACAGAGAGGAGAATTAATGGGACTTGGATGATTGGGCCAGTTTGAGGAATGAGACATATTCAGGACTTTTTTGAAAATGGAACGAAAAGAAAAATGGAGACTCTAAAAAGGTGAGAGGGGGAGGAAGGATATCAAAGGGGTGAGACATGGAGGTGAAGAGAATGACGGGGTGGAGGGAGGACAGAAGGGGAGAAATAACCAAGAATAATTATATGAACTCCTAAATGGAATCAACTCCAATTATGGCAAAGGGCCTTTTATTCTCTCTATCTCCTTCTCTCCCTTTTCCTTCTCTGAGTCTCTCACTCCCTTCGTCAGGAATTAATGACCATGACTTTTTATCTTTATGATGTATTTTCTATCTGAATGCTTATCATGTGTTAACGAGCATCCCTTTAACAGAAGGTTCGATCAATACGACCACAATACTAAAGCAGAACAAAAGAAAAAACTAGCAGCATGCACCACACACAGTACAAGGTAACACAGCACAGATTTACACAGTGTCTCATAATGTACTACCAGTCCATGGTAATTCTAAAGCCTATACTGCCAAGTACTCAATGCACTGTTTATCTCCATTCAGCACTGCCAAGCAATGTCGACACAGAGTTAAAAAAAATAAGTTAATCTAAAATGATCCATCTAAGGAAACACAGTAGGTTAGATTCACTACATGCATAGTTTTGACGTTTTAACTGCTCGGCTGGGAGAACTGTAACCGGTCCCTGAGCCGCACCAATTACAGGCGGAGCTGAAATAAACAGAGAGAGACGTTAGTCATCATGGAGTCTATTTATGATGCTTGAGACAGTGGCAGATGGTTAAATGAGATCAAAAAAAAAAAAAGAAAAAAAAAAGAAAACAGGGCTTTATCACTGCATTCACCTGAGCGTATGGTGAGGGAGACACTTAAAGGAATAGTACACCCAAAACATGATTAGCCTTCATTTTCTACTCACCTCCATGCTGAACAACACTCTGGAGTACTTTTTTGATATCTCAAATGCATCTGGAGATCTGGGAGACTTCTTGCTGTCTGCTGACATTCAAATAATGGAGGTCTATGGCGCCCGAGACAGAAAGGTCCACAAAAGTCCACAAAAACTTGTCAATATTCCTCCATACTGCTCGTCCAATGTAATCCAAGTGTCCTGAGTGGGTAGCATCCAGAATTTACTCGAAACGAAGTCATTTAGAACGTTTTAGAGCCTAAACAGTAGTGTATAGGATTTCCTAATAGCGCCCCCATGCGCGCTCACGATTCTACGGAAGCCGGCAGACCAAACCAGCGCATTCAGCTCGGCAAAGAACTCATGCTCTTCCTCAACACTGAAGTCCTCAGACATTTTTCTTTCGTTGTTTCTTTCTTTGCACAGGTAAACAGCACATTTCTTCTTCTACGCTTGCATTATCGGCAGACCAGACGCTGAATGCGCACTTCCTTCCGGTTTGGTCTGCCGGCTTCCGTAGAATCGTGAGCGCGCATGGGGGCGCTATTAGGAAATCCTATACACTACTGTTTATGCTCTAAAAACATTCTAAATTACTTCGTTTCGAGTAAATTCTGGATGCTACCCACTCAGGACACTTGGATTACATTGGACGAGCAGTATGGAGGAATATTGACAAGTTTTTGTGGACTTTTGTGGACCTTTCTGTCTCGGGCGCCATAGACCTCCATTATTTGAATGTCAGCAGACAGCAAGAAGTCTCCCAGATCTCCAGATGCATTTGAGATATCAAAAAAGTACTCCAGAGTGTTGTTCAGCATGGAGGTGAGTAGAAAATGAAGGCTAATCATGTTTTGGGTGTACTATTCCTTTAACGTTTAGGAGTAATTGTGGTTTTTTTTATGTGCTGAAATGAGACTGTTCACTCATTTACTATACAGTCCACTACATGTGAAGGCTTCCGTGTTGCTTTCAGAATTTAACAAAAAAAAAATTTTGACGCCATTTTGTCCTCGTTTTCTATTTAAACCAGCATGTTCTGTTTCTTAAACCCCCCTCCCCCCATTAAGCCCTATTAATTTTTAAGAGGCCTTTTTATTATTATTATTATTTGCCAAATATACAGTTTATGCTCAGAGTTTCCAAAAGAAGAAAACTTAAGTGCTAATTGTTTTTTCCTCTTTCCCATTTTGAAATTTTTCAGTTCTGGTTGTTCTTTTTTCTAAAAAAATAGATATCTACCAGCACTCTTTCATGCTGATTATAAACAAATCCATGAGCATTAATGTTCCATAAGATTTAACCAGCTAAACATGGACCTATATAAAGACCTATATAAATGGGAAAGGTTTTCAGATATTAAGTCATTCAATTAAATTACATTTGAGCATTTTATGGCTATTTAAATTGGTATTTCATTAAAAGAGATTAACTGCCATTTTATTCTGTATAAAATGGTTTGTTTACTGCAGGGTGGCAAGATATTGGGATATGATGGGGAATATCACAATCAAAATAATTACAAATATTTAAGTAAAATATTTGACCCACCACCCAAAAGTAATGGGGGCTGGGGGGAATAATTCAAATCAATTCAATTCAGTTTATTTATATAGCGCCAATTCACAACACAAGTCATCTCAAGGCACTTTACAGTTCACCAGATCATACAGTCAAATTGATTCAACTATAATTGAAGTTTTCTGGTTAAGTCATAGTATGGTAGAACCAACAGATAAAGGAACATTGAGATTTGGTGGTATCTTCATTCCATGTATTTGTTCACTTCCGTTTTTGGACATTTTGAAATTTTATGTAAGATGAATTGCTCTTACTGTTTTCAACCCTTTTTGTGCAAAACTAACTAAATTGATGTAGGGAACAAATAAACAATATGTATAATGGCTTAGGTTAAATAAATAGCTATGCTAAAAGTAGTCCCTATTTCTCATGCATATAAAGATACCAATCATCTCATTGTCTGAGCTAACTAACCTAAGCAAACTTGCTCTACCATGAACCTCTGATATCAGCTCTACCAGAAACACTATACTGCAGCGTGCCCCATATCTTTTTTGGTTTAGGTATTTATGGGTCTATGACAGAGATGTTTCCTTCAGCTATAATTGAAACCTTTATTGTCAGTTAAAAAAGATACCAAAGATACAATCTAGGTAAAATTATGACCAAAAAAAAGCTCAATTTTGATTGTTGGCAAGCTTCTTAATTAATTGCATCAATGGTACATCTCAAAACTGTCAGTTTGGTGCAAAGCATTCAATATACTTTCATGAACAATACAATCATGCTTAAAAGTAAGTCAATTTCTGGTTATATCTTCATAAGTATATTTATAAGTTCTATTTACAAACGTATACCCTTTGGATGGTTTCCAAGTTGGAAAAGCACAGACGTGTATGTGAGAGGATATGTCTTCTCTTTTCTGTATCTCTGAGATATTAATGGTAATGACACCATGAGAGGCACAGACCATGCTTGTGCACATGGAAAACAGTACAACAGAGAAGTAAAATTAGTGTGTGGTATGAAGACAGATATTTTTTAATTCTGACTAAAATCAGCTGTATTATTCTGAAAAAAAAATTGTCGCAACCCATTTTATCCTGCTGATTTTCCCAGACGAAGATATTTTTTTATTACTCTCACGATCGTTGGTATCTCATTGGCTTTAAACCTTACAAAAAAAGGTAGAAGCTTAACACAGATTGAAACAGGCCCTTTTTAAGATGCATTGATACTTGCTTTCCAACACCTTCCTACCTCAGTTGTAGATGTGCTTTCCAGTTAAGAACTGGAAATATTCGGCCCTGTATCAGATTGGCTATACTATAAAAGATAACACTAGCCCTGCCGTCTGTTTTTTCCTTTTCTTGATGAACACAATATAGTGACTGAGTGAACATTAGTAACACGGTACACGATTGTGTTTTGTACAGAAGCCACAGAAAAGACTATCAATCATCAGTTTTATCAAGTGCATTAATTTCTCTGATTGTTGTTGGAAGAAAAAAAAAATTCTCATCAAATCCATATTTAGACTAATTATTTTAAGTGGATCTTCTCTAATAACACCAACCACATAAACCATCTTTCTTTTTTCACAAACTATATTTTGGTGCACAATCTTATCTGTTAATTTAGCTTCCGCTTATTTCATTACCTAGAATGATTTACTTGTATACTTTTAAGTCAACCCAATCCAGCGAACTGAGATGCTTGCATCCATCTTGTTTATTTTTGTACGCTTTACCATCCTAGATAAAGTTATCTAGAATGACTTAAATATTGCCTTTACAATAATAATTGTGTTCATTTAATACCAAGACAACACTGGCTTATTTATATAATCAAACGTTGGTAACTTTAAAGTGATTTTCATGCATGGCTCTGTCCATGAACCCTCACTCTGCTGTTTAGTTTGTTTTGTTACCAAAACACATTAACTTTATTATGAATGTATTCTGTTTAAAGATAAAAACACATACAATTGAAACCTTGCTCTCTCACTTTTTCATTTATATATCACCACGCAGATGCACACACCCATACACACCTACCCACATACATATATACGCACACATACACACCTTAACAACCAAAGTGCTCTCTCTTAAATGGACTTCAAATAGGCAGGGAACACTGCTGTCACTAGGGACAATGGATAGCAGGAGCAGACAGATATCCTGACAATATTTCTTAGGGAATAACTGTGAAAAAAAATGGGAATGGACTTGTGAGAGTGGACTGCTCTTGAGGGAAGAGGACTGTGGATGAACATAAGGGATCACAAATCAACCTTACAAAGGATCAATGGCCATGAAGGAAGATCTGCTACTGAAATTTATATATGGGAGAGGAATTATACTGGTGAGATGGGAAGAAGAGACAAGCCTACCTTTACTTTGGAGATAACGCTGAAAACAATATTATAGCGACATGCTGTGGCCGGAATACTGAATTACATGCGCTTGAAATATTGTACAGTATGCTCTTAACAAAATTCTAGCTTTGTATTGCTTAGTCTTTTCTACCATTATGATTAAACGCAGTTACAGCTGATATCTTACATTATAAAACCATAGTATTCTTCTCATTTGTCATGACATTTATGATACATGTACCATTAATAAGTTAACTAATTATCAACAAGGAAAGTGCCGTTTGAGGTTGAAATTATTTTGTAATTTTATTTTATCAGAGAGAATTAATAAAGTATATATCTATAACATTACAGTCTCCATTGATTTATTTTGTATTGATTCCGGTGTACTTTTTCTTGCTTTTTTTTTTTTTTTTGGACCCCCAATCTAGCGGTGGACAATTGCTTAATGCCAGAATAACAGATTTTTTTTGAGAATTTCATAAAATTTAGATCCTTAATTCCATTCCCCATGTTACAATATTCTGTATCTTTTTACATGCATCTTTTACCACACATCGCAATTAAATGGCTGGATTACCTTATTATACAGTCTAGGACTCAATGAAAATACCTTAAATCAGTAGGACACTTAAACCACAGTGGAAGTGTTTCCACAATCCCCATAATAAGGGGTATCTGAATAGTGTTGGTAGTAAGGAAACAGATGCCTCCTAGCATCTGTTCATTCAGCATAGGGATCTCCTGACATCCTTTGGCGCTGCTAGGAAAACTATGGTTGTCAACAATCCTTTGCTTGACAGAACCTACAGGCACAACCAGAAAATATGTGGTTTTGTGACAAGCATTCTGTGTGACAAAGGCCAATGATCCCACCAGTGTCATTAATGTGTGTGTTTGCAGCGTAATGACATTCATAAGGCTTTCAGCACAGCAGTTCAGACCTGCTTTTCAACCCTGGATAGAGTTCTTACTGTTATTAAAGGTGAAGGAATAGTAGCTAAGAACAGGAGGTAGGTGCTACAA